ATTGATCTGCCTCCTGGATAGAAAAACTAGTGTGTCAGTCTCACACAAATTAAGATCAGTTTTAGTGTGAGGTATATTGGTAGGTTAATCATTAAGCAGACTCCACAACTAGCAGTGTATGGGGAAAGTTAGGGCAGCGTATGTAATTTTGCAAATGACAAAATTAATCCTCCTTAGTTGAATGTAACGACTTACTACTGCTTAAGCTTTTCATACAGTTTGTGTAACTTTGTAAATTACCTTCTTATTTTTTTTAACAAAACTATTTGTGGTATGTATTTCTTTTCTCATCAAAGCATTCAAAATAACCATACTTTTTCATACTGCAGTAAACATCTGTTCTTACGTTAAAAAATCTAGATTGGTGAGAATCGCAGCTAATCATAGTACAAATCATAGTACAAATGGCACTCAAATCAGTTCAGTAATCAGTTAATTGTATAGTAAGGATTAAGAGAAGTAACTGTATCATGTATAATCAACTCCAGCCTCAGCTGTCTTTCAATTCAAAAAGGAAGAAACTTTTTCAAAAATTTCAGCAGAATATCCTAGAATTTCTTTTGTGGGTTGTTTTCTCTCTTCTGGTTTTACGAATCAACAGTTTCCTTATAGGATAAGAGGCAATCTCACCAGCAAACAAATCCTCCAGTTAAGGACCTCACAGTGGAGAATTCTCTCAGAAATATGAGGTATACATATATATACACATAAAACATTCATAGATATTAGTTGCCTTACTGAATAGCAGCAGGTGCAAATATAATCACTAGGGGATTTTTTTTTAAATGCTTTGCTTTTTCTACTTCTGTGTTTTCACACTATTTTAGCAATGTACACATCACAAGGAAAACATGTCATTTAGACACTTTTTTTTTAATCTGGAAGGAAAACATCTTATGAATGAAAATAAGGCTATGCACCACTGTTGCATACGCATATGTAATATACCAAGGCAAAACCATTATTGTAGTATGGGAAAAGATTTTCCTGTACTGCTACAGGAAAAAAAAAAAGCAGAGTATATAAAGTACTAGAACTTTGAATGCTGTCATTGAACACCTAAATGAATTTTATGGACCTCCTGACATAGGAAAACACCACAAAGACTACCACGGGGAAAATACTATGCCTCAAGAATTATAGAAAGTAGTAAGTAGTTCTACCTTCTCCTCACCCAGGTGCTCATTCTTGCCTGCTCTCTTCTTCCCATTTGTTGCACCACTACAAGTTTCTGTAATAGGTTCATTTATTCAATTCCCTGTCTGGCCTCACAGCAGCATCTGCCCAGAAGGGGAAAAGCAAACACATCTCAATAAATTTGATTTCTGTGGGACAGGTTTATTTTCATTTTGGTGCTTCCTTGTTAAAAACTAGAAAATATTAAGTAACTGTTTTTTTTTCTTTGGGAAAATCTCTAATGACAAGCTAGCAAAACTTTGCCTAAGTTCAGAGTTGTATGTACTGCCCTTCTGATCACAACTGAAATTTTTCATAAACATGTAAAGGGGGCACTAGTTTTTTTGGGTTTTTTTGAGTTGCCTTTGCTTACGAGTTACTAATGTTTCCCCAGTATCCTCATTTGAGTATATGCTACTGTCAGTGTGTTTTATTTTGGGGACGTTCTCAGTGAACTGTTTGCATACAGGACTGCATTAAAATGTGTTTGTTTTGTGAATGAAGAATTTTTCTGTCACTTCAGAAGCCCCTTCCTATGTTTCTTCTACTCAGTTTAAGTAGAAAAACAAAAGTCCCAACAACTAACCATTATGAATTACACAGAACCCAGCTGTAACTGAGTGATCCAAACCTCATTTAGCAACATAATGATAACAAGCATAGAATAGGCCCCAATACCATGGAAACCTATGGGCCACAGGACTGAAACACATCAAAAGTTTATTAGCCGAGACCTGTTTGTTTGAGAAACCTCTGGGAAGACAGACACCTCCTCCAGCTCTCACAATTAGGCAGTTGGTTTTTATTTATTAAAATAAGTGAGGGGATATTTTTAGAATTTATTTATACCACTTCCTCACTTTATTATTAAATTAAAACACTGATCAGAAAATGTTCTGTTCAACTATTCTGATCATAATCAGTCCCTAGTAACTTGATAGCTATTAAGCAAGTTATTTCCCTTATATTCAGGATTCTGCACTGGTTTTTTGGTTTTGTGGTGGGGTGTTTTTTTTGTTGGGCTGTGTTGTTGTTTTTTAAATCTACTTTATTTGGATTTTACAGTTTTGAACAACCTAAGGCTGATCTGTTTTGAGATGTGTGTGCCATCTCCTGGTCAGTGATAGTGCCACATGCAGTCTAACACATTTCATCTTCATAAACTTCCTTTCAGCACCCTGGTTTGAGACATGAGAATTGACCTTGGTCAGCTGCAAGCTGCAAGTTCAAGTGGGACACAATAAATACTGTGTTTATTCACAAATATGCATGAGAGTTTAATCAAAAGACCAACCTGATAATGAAGAGCTGTGCACAGTGAATCCTGTGAGAGGGTTTAACTGCTCCTGAAAAGACAGTTACTTCAGCACTTTAAAGAAAATCTTAAATAAACTTTAATTAAGCCAGTAGAAGCCTGGAAAGCTGGCACACAAAATACTGTAGCTTATTTTACTAAGAGTTAGCAGTCTCAATTACAATGTATATATTCTAAATAAATAGCACTTTTGTATACGATAGGTAATAAGCTTCTTCAGTTTCAGTACACATACGTATACTAAGGAACACTGTGAACAGGTAGGGCCAAACATCTGTAGTTGGACTTCAGATTTTCCCCAGGAATGGCATAAGCAAGAAAGTAAGGATTTATATTTGCCCTAGTTATCATTAAAAACTAAACCCTGTTACAAAGAAGGTGGAGAAGATCCATGAACCCCTTAAAAACTGGATTACTGTTTAGGCCCTTTTGCATCAGTCCACCAAATATTCATATAAGCAGTTTTCTAAATATAGCTACAAAGCCTTAGGGGTATAATGTTTTAAGGAAAAGCAAGCACGTATTCATATGCAGTCCTGTCTGTTCACAAGACATCCCTGTAATTGATGCTGCCTGAATAAAAAATTCAAGGCAAATACCATTCCAAATCTGACAAGTCCTCCTTCTCTTCCCTCTTCCTCAATTTAAAGTGATCATGCTATAAAGTGCACTAAAGATGCAATGTTTCAAGAAGAAATAACACAGGAAGTTCTGTGGTCAAAAAATCTTCTAACTATAGTAAACAGAGTAAATTGCAGAGATATTTTCTAATGACAAACCAATGCTGCTATCAGAGATGCTTATTAGTGTCCAAAGAATATTTACTGATTTTGAATTTTACATATATTTTAACATACCAACTTTGGCAAATTCATATCACATGGTCAGGAAAAGTGAAACCAGTCTGAATATCTTAAAGATGAATTTTAATTCAATTCATTCTTAAAAGTAATTATAAATACTGTGTTACATTAAATTTTCATAATCCATGTCTATTTGTTATAGGAAAAATATCTCCCACAAGACAAAAGCTTATTAAGTAAGCATTCTTTAATCATTCAGTATGACATACAGCACTGCAGATCATTCTTCTTTCCCTGAATCTCAACCTGTTATAGATTCTGTACCATTTCTGAATTCAGAGAATTACAGCTGCCTTCTCCTTTTACGTCTGATCCTTCACCTTAATAAATTCAAGAGAATTAAAAAAATTTAGAAGGTAGAATGCAGTATCTTCTTTAAGAAACAGTCAGCCCTTACACACAGTTTTTATTTTCTGAAAGTTGTGAAACTTTCATGTTTCACAAACTTGAAGTCAGTTCTGATAATAGCAGCTCATTCAAACCTGCCAATGACACTGTGAAACATATACAAAATGAAGCCTTTTAATTGACCACCTCCATACTTTTAAGAAATGCTCATCTGCGATATTAAAACTATTGATTAAAAAAATCTGGGTATGCAAAGAAACTTAGAGAACTGCAGTGTGTTGCTTCATTCATCCTGTATGAACAAGCCAGTTATGAAAGCAGAAATTTTTAAGGATGCACAAGTCCATTGTTTAACACTTACTTACTGTGCATTTATACATACAATTCAGCTCTACTTAAGAAAAAGTCATCTGGGCCAAGCAAGTAAGCTCTACTATCTATAACACTTCTGCTTTTCATTGCTGCTGAATGTGTCATCAAGACTTCTTGGACAACAGCTGCACATGAAAACACAGGAAATTTTTTTCAGGTACACCAGGGCCAGGTTAGCATGTACAATGACAGATTATTATTTTTTTTTTCTTCCCAACAACAGAATAGTCAACGACACCAGCTTCAAATTAAATTCAGCTTCTGAAAACTTACAGGATGCAAGTTATTTCCCAAGCAGCAGTTATTAAGAAACTGGATAAAATGATAGGGCTAAATCTACTTTTTTTTTCCTACCTTACGTCCAACATCATGGCACTCTTCCCCAGTACTGAATTTACCGAGCTATAAAAGTTTGTGGCGTATGCCAATTTATCTGGAATAATATTTGGTTTTCATGAAGGCTGGGTATGTGCTCATCTTGAAAAAAGCTGCTATAAATTTTATTCTATTAAGAAAAAACTTGCCCTAAACCCATGGCTGACGTTATTCAGCACAACAACATAGTTCTGTGTTCTCATCAGCTGTCCTTGGAGCTAACAAAATATTAGCAATAAGAATCTAGTCATTATAGTTACAGCATGGTAATAGAAAACAAACAGAAATACTTAAAATTTTTCTTCACAGGAATTAATTATTTCCTTTTAGCCTTTGACACTCTACTTCAAAACCCTACAGATTACTGCAATATTTGTCAGAAGCACTCATCTTCACTAAATGAGAGAGCTGCTGATGGATAAATACTGGAAAGTTTAGAAAATATTTTGTCATTCTAGTTAGCATACATAACACGCCATCTGACAGCTACTAAAAAAGTACTTTCATTACCTTAACTGAGCTTTGTACAAGAAATCTGTGATATAATTATCCTAATTTTCATGTTCAGTATTGAGCATCACAGCAGAACCATCAGTGCTCAGTATGACCTTGCCAGCAATAAGCTTGCATAACTTCTCAAAAGTACCACAAAGTTGATTCACTTTGGGAAAAGAAAAGATTGTTTTAAGAGGTATATAAACCACATCTCCATCGACAAATGCTTCCATGCTTTTTTCAACAACCAGTTTTCCAAGATCTTCTGAAAAACAGTTCATTAAAGGTTGGAATGTAGTTTTTCTCTCAGTAGGATCATCATTATACTCCTTATGTTCTGACATTAAACGGTCCAGCAGACTTTGCTTAATGATTTGTGCTGTGAAAATAACTTCACTGACCACTGCATTCTGCAGGTACTTCTCATCTTTAAGACTTGGATACACTGCTTTGAAGACCTTTAGAACACATAAAAACACATAAAATGTTTGTCATTATCATAGGCTCAAATTTTAACATTTACTTGTCAAAAAGAGCTTCTAAAATGTCAACTTTTTTTTATTCAATCCTGTTTCGTTTTTTACTTGAAACATTCAGATAACAGAAAAACTAGACTTGATTTTATGTATTACAACTACAATGGCAATTAGCAAAGTTAACAGAACTTAAAAAAAAAAAGTCAGGCTTATATCTGCAAGCTATACTTGTAGTTCAGGCAAGGTGAAGCCCTGCAATTCTTTAATTCTTTTTAATCATTCTCTTACTTTCCACATAACTCATGATGAGGCTCTGATGACAGTTCCACAGCTACGTAAACTACTTCTGAACTGTCACCTGGAAACCAGGACTGCAGCTATGCTATGTCTTTCATTCTGTTTTCAGAGTAAAGCATTAAATATGCTCCCCAAGATGCAGAGAATACTAAAAAATAAACTGTGGCATCAAAATCTGTGAACTTGTAATATATTCTACGCTGAGCTATACTCCAAGGCACTTAAGAAAACTTGGCAGGCAATTTCATTCCCACTAGTTTACTAGGAAGTGCTTTATCCCAACACACTACCACTGAATTTCCAGAGTCTACAACTATTTCTTCTTACTTTCTGATTAGATCTTGAAGTGTTTGTTTATTCATGTAAATTAATTACACAATAAAATAAAAATTAATTTGATAATCCAGGTTTGGTAAGAAATACATGAGATACAATGTTCTTGTTTAAACTCAAAGGATACTGATGTCAAAACTCCCTCCATATTGACCCTGTAACAGAAGATAATGAAAGCAATTTCTAGTACATGTCAGTCACCTGGACCTATTTCCAAATTTGTTGAGCATTAAAGAACACTTCACAATTCTATTAAGGGCAGTAGATGACAGGTGAAATTTCAAACGTATAGAATGTCTTTATAGCTTGGAAACTACAAAAGACATTCCGATGATGTCACTTTACAATTCACTTCAGGTCACAAGTCACTTGAAGATACATACATATCTTTCAACAAAGAAGTGAAATACAATATGCTTACTGAAACAAATAATTTAAGGTGTTACGAGACAGAAATAACCCCCCCAATACATTTCTCTTTTTGCATTATTAATTCATCTTATCTCTGAAAAAAATGTCCTTTGATTTATACCACATGGCACTTAGATGCATTAGGCTTTGTTGGTGTGACATGGGCAACACACAGCAGAGTATTTTACAAAAAACTTATCTGATGTTATCTGAAGTGAAAGGCATTTAATGCTAAAAACCCAAAAAGGTTTGATGTGCGTCACCAGAGAATGGTGTGCTTGGCAAGATCCCATGCCTCTGCAAAAACCAGAACAGGCTACCTGGAAACACTGAGATTAGGATGTAACATCAAAGCCTAATGAGTAAGGCAAACCACACAAAACAGTTCTTGTCAACCCGATTTCTGCGAAATTCCTTCCTTGTGATAACATATATGACAAGACTATGCAGTTCTTCAAAACATACACTGTTAGAAATGCTTTTTATTTTTTATGTATCTGGGGAAAAAAAAAAATCTGTGTCAGTACCAACAACCACATGATGAAAAAATTAACAATTAGAGGAACAATTAAAAATAGTGTCACAGTACACCCGGTGGAAAGGAGAATTTTCACTCTAAGGATAACAGTGTGTTAAAATAAGAATGGTTACCTATACTGCTATTTAGCAAATAACCTAAAAGTTAAAGGCCTTCACACAATTAGAAACACAAATCACAGACTTAGACTCTTCTGATCTGATGGTGTGTTAATCAGAGCTAAGATTCAATAGTAGTAGAACACCATAGCAAGAACACCGTCACAGGCAGGTCATAGAAAATTTTACTCTATTCATCCTACTAATGCAAGAACATAATACTTACTGTTTTGTAAACTGCTTCAGTGGGTTTCTCAGACTGAGCAGATTCACTGGTTTGAGGATATTTTCTAACAAACACACCTATTTGGGTACAAAACCCAACATTCTCCATTCCTGTTGGTGGGTGCCCTACGCCAGTAAATTCCACTGAGTAACCATAGCGTCTAGCAGTCTCTAGAGCCCTAAGAAAGACAAATTATTCCAATCATACTAAATATTCATTGTTTAATGTGATCAAGATGCATTCTGCAACAGAAACAAGACCCTGAGCCTGTGAATGCTTGAATTTTTCTAATAATACCCACATGCCTGAAGATAAGCACTGTCAAAATTTGCCGAATCAGAGCTGTAATTATATGCCTACCTTAGTCTGAATCATTTCGTATCAGTAATTTAGGCAACCAAATGTTACTGTTATTTCTAAAATACCTGCATTGAATATGCATGTTCACAGTTGCTTACTGTCTCAAATACACTGAAGTTGAGCTAAAAACTACCAATTTTAGAGGACAAAATTGTTTCAGAAGAACCCATAAAAACCATACATATTGCAAAACCACAAGAGACCAGTTAATAGAAGAAAAAAAGAGAAAAGCAAGGGTTTTTGTAGATATGTAAAGAGTAAAGTCTACCTAATCAAGGTTACAACAACGTACATGACATCTAAATGAAAACCAATCTTGCAGTGCAGTACATCAGCCAGTGTGAAAAAAGTGATGGGGCAGGGAACTAAAATGGCACTACCTGCCTGCGTCATTCTCCATGAAAAAGCAGTAAACTAAATTAATATAATGTATTTTAGAGAATATTGCAATACTTGCATTTCACAACACAAACATGAAGACTTTCTCATGTTTACAGCTCAAAAGAAAGCACTCCTTCAGTCATATCAATATTTTTAATTCACATATATCCAAGAGCAGAGCCTAAATTTACTTTAAGTCATATAAATGGTCTCTAATGTATTCACCTTTTGCAGGAAAATATGCGCTTCAAGCTTTGCAAAACCATATACTAAAAAAAAAAAAAAATCACTGCATACTTTAGAGTCTATGGCAGAAACAACCTAATTTGAGGGGCAAATTTTCCAAGATAAAATTTCTGACCAAGAGTTGGCTATTGAGGTATGGCATCCTTTACTGTACCATATATTTTCTTCCACAACTGCTTGACAGTTTAATGTTATCTCAGGATATATACCCCACTCCCTCTTTATTTTGTAGATTTTACTACATCTACTGATACTAGAGTAAGATACATCTCACGCAACTCTGTCATGGACATACGTTTTGCATGAAATCTTTCATTGTGCCATGATCCACTACACTATCCTTAACTTTATTCAGCATGCTCTGCTACTGTGATTATTTCATAAGTCTGCTTGCACACTCTTACAGAAACGTCTGGATTGAGTGCTTTGATTATACACCATACATAGTGAGCACATTTCTTAGGTTTTTATGAAGCATTTCTATAGCAGAGTAGTATTATGCAAAAAGGTTAATGAACACCTTACACTTCAAATGCATTAACTGTAATAATAATAAAAAGAAAAGTTTTAAATCACAGAATCACTAGGTTGGAAAGG